CCTTTAACCTCTCTAACAGACCTTTTTAGCTTGTATGTTTTGTTTTCGCAATACAGGTCATGGGATAATACTCTAGAGAACTGTTTCTTTCACATTTCGTCTTGTTCATGTGCATATGTACTCACAAAAAGACAAAGTGTCAAGTTCCCCTGCGACCCCTATTGGGAAAACAAAACATACAAGCTAAAAAGGTCTATACCTCGCAATCCAGTGCAGCACGGAAACCCGGGGGTACTCAACAAATGTTCATTCGAGGAGGCTCCTCTCCGAGGACCAACCCCTTACCCTTTATATACTATTTTTCACGGAAAAGTACCCCTTCCTTTTAAACGCTGTAAATGCACAGTCTTTTAAATAAGAATTAATCACAAAATAGAACGTTCCCCGACGATTTCAAGCCATAAAATTCATCTGTTAGCCCTTTTGGGCCCTTTTACAGACCAAAGTGACAGATTTCCCTACTCTTCAATATACTTCAACCAGTGAAATCCTTACCCTTTCATATACCTGAAGCCTGAAAAAGGTGCCCCTTTCGGGGGAAGCCTCCCCGTCGGGTATAGGCCATTATAGGGAATACCCCCCCGGTACAAAAAGTCGCATAAATCAAGAACAACAACTCATCTTTTTTAAAATCATTATTCCTAGTCCCTATGGAGTAAATGACCGCTTTTCGTTCAGCTAAATCTACGTTATTCACGATGACCCGTCAGCGCTGCGGACGAGATTGTTGCTTTCTCAGGGGGGCAAACAAGTGAAAAACATTGGCAATAGAAGAAATCGCGGTTGAGTTTGTTTATCCTAGACAAAAGGAAATGAAGACCATTTCATCTTAAAGACGATAATGTTAAAATATGGGTGGAAGTGATCATCGTTACTTTATTGTATGCAGTAGCCACCGTAGATGTCCTCATGGTAAACAGTAATGGCGTAAACCTTGCCAAAACTCGATGTATACATTTTGCATGACTATGAAATCGTCGTCTCGTTTGATAGAATAAACAAACTCGACCGCGATTACTTGTATTGGTAAATTTTATCACTTGTTTGCCCCCTGAAATACCACGTGACATAGCTTTTATCCCATCGATCTTAGAGCGAGTGCAAAGATGGCGGGTATCGTGAATAAGGTCTATTGTTCTTGTTATACCACACACAGCCCATAATTCCTTGCTCTGATAAACTGAGGTCGAAACGTTAGTTTTTAAATCTCTTTACGGTCATATTGAATTTATCAACTCAGTTGATGAAAGCAAATCCCCACCACCGAAGCAGCACCAAAATTGAACTTGAATTTGAATTCATCGTTTCTAAATATCCTTGGAAGTCCCTTCAGTGGCAAAAGATAATAAAATTGTGGATGCTCGACTTCGCCTGCCACAGACGAAGACTTCCAGCTTTGAACTTCAGCTACAGCTGCAACGTGGGACGAGGGGAGGGGAGGGTGGTTCCCCGGCGGTCAAACGAGATTTGAAAACGCTAAGCAAAGTAAATCAAAACTGGGGTTGCTGCTTCACTGTTGACAGTTACCAATCGATGCAGGTTTGCTGAAATTATTGAAAGCCTGCTAAGAAGTTCTTAGTGTTTAAAAACAAAAACGGCTTTTTTATAGTTGAAGTTAACCTTCATTTCGTGTATCGTTTCTCGGTGTCAACATACTTAGTAGAGGTGTCAACTTAGCTGTAAATAAAATCCCCGCAAATAAAACTTTTTGGAAGAAGCGCCTTAGATGTTTGACTATGGGAGGTGGAAGCAGTCGGTGGCATGGGTTACAAATTTGCTTTCCTCTTGGAGCACTTTCAAAATCCGTCATAAACCCCGAAACTCAATAGCTTGTTACTTAACAATTATTCCTCGAGCCCGAATGGGCTATTGACTCAGAGGCCATGAGGGCGAGAGGAATAATTGTTTTAGTAAAATCCAACTAGTTGGTCAAAAATATCGAGACAAAACAACTTTATCTAGCAAAACGCGATTCAGCAGCCATTGTTTTGGTTTTCAAAGCCGGCGCTTTTCGCTACTAGTGGGCTATGACATATAGCCTAGTAGTAGCTCAACCAATCAGAACACAGCATTGATAATAGACCACTAGTTGGATTTTACTAATATCAAATAGCCCCGTTTATCACAGTGCTGCCGAACCCAGAAAGAATCTAGTAAAAAATGGCAATAACTATTAGTTTAATGTCTTATTAACCAGGGAAAGTTTCGACAGCGTAAAAATGATCTTATCAACATTTTGTCCAACGCGAGGTTCAAAGACATAAGACAGTGCCGCACTGCATGACTAGAAAACCGATGACCGGGCACAATTTTTGCGTCGTTAACAGAAAGAGGTCTCTACTGGTCAGCTGCTTCATCAATTGACTGATATTATGCGTTGTCTACAGTCAAGGTAATGACATCATATTCATTCAAAATATCTCCCCAATTCTGATTGGCTAAAAGCACACGCGTAATTCACCATAGCCAGTTACTGGTGACCAAATTTGGAAGAATTTATTTTGTGTTTAACGAGGATATGACGTCAAAAATGCAGCCCTCTACAGGTTAATGCACCGTTAACCGAGAAGACCTGGGGACGAGATTGACTTGTTTTCGTTGTAAAAACTAAAATGGCGGACACTTCACTCGTTTCAAGAGAAACAACTACAGCTGGAACTAGGCGAAATAATGGCTAAAAGCATAGCAAAAACAGCAAGAAGACAACTCGGAGGGCGGCATCTGCTATTTGGAGAATATCTGCGGAGCTTGACAAACCGAAACGTAAACTATCGAAGATAAACTTAACATCGATGCAGGTCAAGCTTGTTTTAGCTATGTATTTAAACTAGGAATTATTTTGGATGAATAATAAAACAATTATTGAAGTCGGCTTTCGTATCATATGAAGAATTATGGAGATCTCGAAGGGTGTTATCCGCGATAACACCCTCCTCGATCTCCATAATTCTTCACAAGATACTCACCCGCATTCATTAATTGTTAAATATACTTATTTACTTAGATTCGACAATTTGGCGGAGTCACTTCAACAGGATGACTCCAGTTGCTGCGAGCTCCTACAGTCCCCTACCCTTATAAGAGATGCCTTTGTACAGACTCCACTCCCCTCAGGAAAAATCTGATTTTTCCTGAGTGGAAGGGGGGTCTGTACACAAGCTACATGAGAGATGGGGTCTACGTTCCCTACTCCTTTCCAACACCAGTGCGGGTTCTTTTACGTTGAGGGAGACAAGGTTAAGGGCTTAGTGTCACCTCTCAATGACGCGATCATCTGAGACGTCTAAGACAAGATCTTAAACGCTTCATCGTGTACTACTGAGTTATGGATGTACTGGGGAGGATTACTAAGCTCATAAGGACTCGAAGTATTTATTTAGTTTAATGAAGTCATCAGCGTGCTCAACTGGAATATCAATCACACTGACAGTTATTACTTTCAGAAATTCTTATAAGTCAACTCTAGCCTTGTGGGAGGGTGCCAATGGGGTTAGCAGTTAACTGATATTTGGCCAAAAAAATAGTAGCTAACTGATAATTGGCCAAAAAGTTAGTAGTTAACTGAGAAATGAAAAGTCAACAGTTAAGCAACATTCTATTCATTGTACTGAATATGATCGTTGATGTTAATGAAAGCAGCAAATTTTTGCAAACAGAAATGCTATTTTCTGACTTTTTTCTGTCCCGCTGATGATCATCACTGGTGCGTCTGGATCTATGACGCTGGTGTCATATTGATGGTTATACGACTTGGATCTAATTTGAACAAACGGCAAAAATCTTTAAGTAGGGGTCTTAATAGCTATCGTTTACCCATTTTTGCTACTTCTGTTAGATAATCATGCTCTTTTCCATATTTTCAGTTACTAATAAATTGTACTAGCGGCGGAGTTTTGTGAATTCATGTAAATTTATACCTTGATTTTCGTAGGGCCTACCCCCAAAAGTGATTGACGTGCTGAAGTAAAGAAAATTCGGGTTATGACAGAATAATATTTGATGCAGGAAAGTGAAAGTTAATAGCTAACCAAAATTAGTAGTTAACTGAGAATTGGGTACCCCCATTAGCACCCTCTTGTGGACTCGCGATAACGGACACCCCTGATAATACGGACAGCAACTAAATCCCAGGTAAAAATAGATTACAGATGTTTGACTAAAAGAAACTCCCGTGATCCTCTCACTAATAAGGTCGACCGTGACTAACCTAAGGTCCCTACGGTGTCCGCTATAAAGGGATTGACTGTTCTTGAAACCAATCTACAAATTCAAAGTACGCCCTCTGTTATAAGAGTTTTAACCGACGTTTCGGCAATGCCGCCTTCTTCCGGGTACAAAAGGAATAAGCACCATTTTAAGTTCCCGTTACTCTCGTCAATTTTGTTATTAATTTTGTACAAACTAGTTTAACGTTAGCTTAATAAGAGTAAACCCTTCTCTTTTATGGACTTAACACTCGGGCCTTTTATCAAAAACACAACTCTGAAAAATTTTACTATTTAAGCCATTACACATTTATTTGTTCTTGAAGATGTAGAGTCTCTGGGTTTTCAGCACCTTGAACAGAAGCGACACCTGTTGTATGTTTTGTTTCGTTACCTTTTTGCGCAGAACCCATTTCAAATTTAAGAAGTTGCCCCATCATCTTCCCTTCATTCTTTAAGCGTTTCAGTCTTCTGGCATCAGTCATATCGGCTTTAACCACACTAACATTAGCTCCGTGGTCAACAAGCTTTTTCACAGCTTGCGCGTTACCACATCTAACTGCCATTTGAAAAGGAGTCCTGCATTCTGCGTCACGGATGTCTATATTTTGCGCCCCATACTTCACCAGGAGATCGATTATCTTACCGTTCAATATATGAAGGTCACGAACTAAGTGAAGCGGTTTATTTCCATCTTCATCTTGAATAATCCGCGTTGTGTTCAAGTAACAATCTACAGAGGTTTCCGTTACCCTCTGAGGCACTGCAGTGCAAGAGTGTATTTCCATATTTATCTTAAATATGTACATCCGAATTGTGTTCAAGTAACAATCTACGGAGGTTTTCGTTACCCTTTGAGGCACTGCAGTGAAAGGGTGTATTTCCATATTTATCTTGAATATTTACATCCGCGTTGTGTTCAAGTAACAATCTACAGAGGTTTTCGTTACCCTCTCTGGCACTCAAGTGCAAGGGTGTATTTCCATATGCATCTTGAATATTTACATCCGCATTGTGCTCAAGTAACAATATACAGATGTTTTCGTTACCCTCTTTGACACACCAGTGCAAGGGTGTATTTCCATATTTATCTTGAATATTTACATGTGCGTTGTGTTGAAGTAACGATGTACAGAGGTTTTCGTTACCCTTTGTGACACACCAGTGCAAGGGTGTATATCCACTTTTATCTTGAATATTTGCATCCGCGTTGTATTCAAGTAACAATCTACAGAGGTTTTCGCTACCCTCTTTGACACACCACTGCAAGGGTGTATATCCCGATTTATATTGAATATTTACATCCGCGTTGTGTTGAAGTAACAATCTACAGATGTTTTCGTTGCCGTTTCTGACACACCAATGCAAGGGTGTATATCCACGATTATCTTGAATATTCACATCCGCGTTGTGTTCAAGTAACAACCTACAGAGGTTTTCGTTACCCTCTCTGGCACTCAAGTGCAAGGGTGTATTTCCATATGCATCTTGAATATTTACATCCGCATTGTGCTCAAGTAACAATATACAGATGTTTTCGTTACCCTCTTTGACACACCGGTGTAAGGGTGTATATCCATCTTCATCTTGAGTATTTACATCCGCGTTGTGTTCAAGTAACAATCTACATGGGTTTTCGTTACCCTCAAAGGCACACCAGTGCAAGGGTGTATATCTACTTTTATCTTGAATATTTACATCTACTTTATTTGCAAGTAGTAATTTGATAAGATTTTCGCTACCTTTTCTGACTGAAATGTGTAGTGGTGTGAATCCATAACTATCCTGAACATCTACATAAGCTCTGTGCCTTACAAGCAAGCACACTGCCATATAGTTGTTCCAAACAGCTGCTAATTTTAATGGTGTTTCTTTCCTCTTTTCTGTTTTGCCTTTAACGTCGGCCCCAAGATCAATGAGGGTCTCAATGAACTGACTTGAGGATGAACGACTCGCCTGCATCAAAACTGTGTAATCATTACCTGACACTCGGGCATTAATAGCTGCACCGTCATTTAGTATAAGCTCAACAGCTTGTTCCGCATCATCATTACATGTAGCCACTTGCAGCTTAGTCTGTCCACTGTTGTCCTTAGCACATTCATTATAGAGTCCTTTGATACTTTTATAACTTGGAAGTCCATAAGCTTTCAAAACAATGTCATATTTGTTCTTTAAGACAGCCGCCTGGAGTGGATGAAATCCAGCCTGTTTATCCAATTGAATGAAAGCTTTCCTTGAGAGTTTCTTTAGACAGACCTGTTAAAAAATGACCAAGTTTTTAAGAGAAAGTAATAAAGAGGGAATCCATTTGACACTGAGTAAGTTAAAGCAGAAATGTGAGACAGTTTTCGGACACAATCTGGTTGATGAAGACATGGCCTGGCATCCGGTTAATAACAAATAAAAACTTTTGTATTAGCACAATTACCATTGCGATAACACAAATGTGCTATGCACCATAATAAAATAGAATTACTGAAATACCGAGTTACAGTGCTTTTAATAGTCAGTTTCGACAGAAGGCCGGAGGCTAACAACTACAGTACTGTGCAAAAGAAATGCAAAGGAAATTCGGTGTTCTTCGTTCTTTGTTCTCGCGAAAATTCGACGAAATTTCGCCACGAAATTTCGTCAAAGCGCTCGCGAATTTTCGTGGAGTCAAACGAAATTTCGTTGTCATCTTGGCGAAATTTCGGATCCACTGAAGCGAAATTTCGTTTTGTAGAAATTTCTTCGGAGCGAAAATTCGCACTCGCGAAATTTCGCCAGGCGAAAATTCGCAGCTGCAAAATTTCCACAAAGCGAAATTTTGCTGGCAGTAGAGGAGGGTTGTAATGAAAACCTTTTGTTCGGACCGCTTTAAGCCATTGGTCCGAGTAATTTATTTAGTTTAGACTTCAGTCGCACGCGCGGCTTTAGAGGTGAGAGTTTTCATGTAAGTCAAAAGCGAAGTTTGTTTTTTATTCGGCGGGATATTTCATTTGGGTCCAAAAGATAAAATATTAACCTGTTTTTAGTTATTATCGTCTCAGTACCCTAAACCATGAGTTCGAATAACCAATAAACTAATCCTTAAATAAAGGCTTATTGATTCCACTATATGTCTTTTTACCGTCTTTGCACTTTTGACTTTAGTCACACGCGCAGCTTTTTAAAGTGAGACTTTGCATGTAAGTCAAAAGCGTATTGTTTATTTATAAGCTGGGAATTTCATTTGGCTCTCAAAGATAAAATACTTACCCTTTTCAGTTATTATCGTCTCAATACCCTAAACCATTAGTGCGGACAACGAATAAGCTAATGCTTACAGCAAGTCAGTTAATTCAACTACCTGGTTTACGATCATCGCATCGATAACGTATAACGTCCAACATTGTTGATAAATACATAAAAAAAGTCTCCTGAAAGAAGATTTCGCAAAAAGGAAACGGGAATAAAGACACAATCTGATATCTTACTGGTTGATGAGGACATAGCCTGGCATCATTCTTCAGCAGCAACTGCACTATGGAATGGTGGTTTTGTCGTTCGGCTTTTTGCAGAGGAGTACGCTGAAACTAAAAACATATTGAAGCAGAGTTATTCTTGTTACCTTCTTTTGACTATTTATCATAGAAACATTTTAACTAAGGTAACTCTACATAAATGCATGTCTCCGCTTTGTCTACACAAGGTAACGCAACGTACTGTTAACTACAAGAATTACACAGCAGAGCCATTAAAAACCAAAACAAATCAAAACAAAAAAAAAAATCGTGTGCATTTGACATGACTGTGCATTCCATCCTGGACATAAGTGTTGAAGCATGGACTCAGTTAAATGTTCTTGAACAAAATCTAATGTTAACGTCAAAAGAAAAAATCTTCAAAAAAGGAAAAGATTAATAACGGTTTGGGTAGCCTGCGGGAACATGGACTACGAGTAGTTCCCCATTTTTCCTCAGGGATAGTAGAGCGAGCGGAACGCGAGCGCGCGTGAAAATCACCCCACACGAGAAAAGGCGACACGCGGCGGGGAGAGAGAAAAAACACATTTTTCTCTCTCCCCGCCGCGTGTCGCCTTTTCTCGCGTGGGGTGATTTTCACGCGCGCTCGCGTTCCGCTCGCTCTACTATCCCTGAGGAAAAATGGGGGACTACTCGTAGTCTAGCGGGAACAAAATCTTTTCCCGTTGTTATTTCTTTTTGTTTGAAAATAAATAAATAAATAATAATAATAATAATAATAATAATAACAATAATAATAATAAACGAAGAAGGCATCTCCTGCCGTGGGCTCTAAGTATCGATCGCGTAGGAAAGGTAATTGATAATCCAAACAGCAAAGAAAAAAGAGCAGTTCCCCTCCAGTGAGAGAACAATTCCTATTCTGTTACAGGCATGCTATAATTCCAGCAACATCCATAAACGACTGCAATGTAGCTGATTCATTTAATGTGTAAAAATGCGGTGGAAAAAGCACTCACACGAAATATAAAGAAAGAGAGGAGGAAACATAGCGAGCCTCTAAGGGTGATATAGGTAAGAGTTAAAGGCCGATTTCGCAGGTGGAATTAGAGCAAATGCCTGTGCAATGAAACGTTCAAATCAAAACGTGTTCGAAGAGATCATAATTTATTGATCACTAGAGATAAATTTCAGTTAATCAACAACTGTTGCTGGTAGCTTTGTCCCATGTCCAGTAATTTTCACGTGCAACCTCACGTGCGTTGAAGTCTATGAACAATTGGTTGTTTACTTGACCAATTACATGGGGTCTACACGGCACTCTGCCATGTTCCTTAGCTTGCACTCCCATATGCTTCGTCACTCTGGCTTTTCTTCACGACCAAAGCACAATATCTTGAAGTTTCCTTTTCCCTCCCATCCAACTCACTATAGTTATAATCAATTTCTGTGTCAACACATTGATGTCCCTTTCGGTTGAGAGTTTCCACCTGATGCAATGATATGACACATCAAATTAGTTAATTTTAGTTGTTTCTATCCTGTACTTCTACTCTGAAGACAGTTTTGTTTTTCAATAAAGGTGAGAATGGGGATAAGGTGCTCCTCTCGTCACACTTTCGCCCCCATAGACTCGACATTTTGTACTCCTGGGATATACATGTAGGTTAGTGGGGGCCCAAGGGAGGCCCACGACTGGTCACAGCCGACCATGAGGGAAGGCCCAACCTCCCTATATCGGCACGATTGGTCACAGCCGACCCTGGGGGAGGCCCAATTCCCTCCCCTATAGAATTCTGTGCACCTTCCATCTTTACCCAGGAACGGTCACAGTCTGCCCTGGGAGGAGGCCCAACTCCCTCCTCCATACCGGTGTGTTTACCACCACCCTGGTATGTACCATAGTAAGATGGGCGTTTGTATCAATACTGTTGCTAGGGTAAATTTAATAATTGGCCAACATAAAGGGATTCCTGTGTGAATCAGTAATACTGGACAAACAACAACCTCTCTTACCCCACCCCTTCAGGGCACTATATTGTTCAATTGAAGAAAGTTCACTGACTCACCCTGTCTTTAGCGTTGACGTTCGCACCGTGTTCTAACAACAGTTTGACAACAGATTCTTGTCCATACCAACAGGCAAGATGAAGAGGAGTCAAAGAAAACTACAGAAAAGAGGACAAAAAAACGTAGTTATACGTAGAGGTGTGTATGTATCACACTGGTGCTAGGTTTTCTTTAGCTCACAAAAATCCAGGAGTACATGGGCCCACTTCCCCCTTTTGAGCCTCACCAAGTTTTTGTTTTTGTTGCTGTTTAGAATAATAATTTTGGTTCTGATCCCAAACATGAGGAAGTTGATTAAAGGAAACTGGACAGTGAAAAGTTTGTAATAACTGAAATATTTGTAAGATGTGAAGGTATTGAAAACCCCACAAAAATAAAAGAACGAGGCCGCTATGAACACGATCGCTGACGTATGCCAAGAACAGTAAGACACGTCTTACATAAGACGCTGGCATGTCTTTCATAGGACGCGAACAGCTCGTACAAATGGTTCGCGTCTTGTCAATAGTCTTATATCCGCGCAACGGCATTCCAACGTAACACGTGTTATAATATTGCATACTCACAATGCGTTATAGATGACCTTCTCGACTTATGAAAGAGGCTACGACGATTTCTCGTGAGAAGCATATTAAACTGTACAAGATTCAAACCTGATCCTTTTTATCCACATCTTCACCACTTTCAAGAAGTCCTTTGATTGTTTCGAACTGTCCATTGATAGCAGCCTTGTGTAGAGGGCCTCTCGACGCCTGTATTTTTTTTAATCCATTAGTAAGAGAGCAATCCTAATTATACCTTACACTTGGTCGTTTGAATCAGTTACGGATATTTAACAGTAGAATACAAAAGTATAAAAAAATTGCAAGCATTACGCCTGATTTTCGGTGAATACCGCGGTAAATGACCAAATAAACGCCCACTTCCAAATATACGCCTCTCATCAAATAATCGCTCCCTCTACGTCGTTAAAACTGTATTAAACGCCCCTTTCTAATAAACGCCCCCTGTGTAGTGAGGATTACTCCAAAATTCTAGGAATTAGCTAAAAAGAGCAAATTATTGAGTTTCTTGTTTGATTAACTAGGGTTTGCGTATTTCATCTTGTTCAATGCCAAGTTCAAAGGAAGGATAGACTAACGATGACAACAGAATAACGCTGAGCAAGGATTCTGACATCGGTGTTGGGATTGAAAAAGCGACATGGATTTCTAGACGACCTAGACATATCAAATGATGGAGTGGATATTCCGCTATTTTCACACTCACTTGATATTTTTGCCGAGAGCGTATTAGTCTTGTTGAGCATGTTACAGTTATGGGAATAAACGCCTTCTATCGATTAAACGCCCCCGCTTGGACCCCTGAAATTAAATAAACCCCGCGGGCGTTTGTTACATCATTTACGGTGTGCGTATCGAGGCACCCATTTGACAAAGCAATAACTGTAAACGTGCAAAAAAGGAAACAAAAGATTTGGTTGCTAACTCAATGATCTATTTATGAAACGGCTTTGAAATGACTAAGGCTACTATTTTTTTGGCCAATTCTCAGTCAACTACTTATTTTGGTTAGCTATCAACTTTCACTTTCCTACAGCGAATAATATTCCGTCATAGACCGAATTGTCTTTACTTCAGCAAGTCACTCACTTTTGGGCCGGGTAGGCCCCACTAAAATCAAGGCTTAAACTTAGATGAATTCACATAAACTCCGCCACTAGTACCATTTATAAGTACCTGAAAATATAGAAATTAAAAGAACATAATTATCTTACCGAAGTAGTAAAAATGCGTAAGTAATAGCTATTAAGACTCCTATTAGTCGATTTTTGCTGTAAGTACAAACTGCATTAAGTCGTATAACCATCCACGTACATCCAGACACACCAGTCATGCTCTCGTACTTATCTCCCCGACCTGGTCATGCATGTCCTGCTACAAACTTCTTCAAAGTCACCTTCTTCGTCACTTTCATTATCTGAATTAGTCTAGTACTTAACTGGTTGCTGTATGTCCTGTATCTTGTTGTTGACCTATAAGTTTCAATCCATTTTCAATCCTTGCAATCCATTGCCGCGACGGAAAACAATATCAATGCCAAAATATCGTCTTAAATAACAAAACTGGACTATTATTTCTGGAATTCAATTGATGCCAAAAAAACGTTTTAGCTTTTTAAAAAGATAGCAAATAGCATGTCATAGTCCCGCGACGCTGATGGTAAAGATCCCGCTTTATCTTCAGTTTATTCGCTTCTTATACTTCGTTGTCAAACACTGTTTGCACCGATGGGGGAGACATAGTTAACACTGCTGACAAAGGCATGAAAGTATTTGACACGGGACAATTCGACACTTCGAATTCTTCCTAGTTCATTTAACCGATTCTTTCACTGTGGTTCCAAAGTCTTGGGCGTAGTAGTAGTAAAAGTAGTAAAGCCGACTTCCGTTCAGCAAATTTAACTTCCGAGGAAATTTTTTTCAATGAGATTGTGAGGGTAGCCACGAACGCTTGTGAGTTAACTGAGTAGTTTGTTCTAAAACAGTAAGGTCTTCACCTTCATGAGACCTTACTGATCTTTTCTGGAGCTATAAAGTCAAGCGCGAAATTTCTCAAGGTCCAAAGTGCACCTCCCAGATCTGGAAGTCTGCTGTGATTGGTCTACGTTTTTTTTCCGCTCAAGTCAGCAGATGTTCGTGGGGCAGGAACGCGTGACGAACCTCTAAGAACGTCTGCGTGGGAGGCTACCAGGTCATCAGCGGGACAGAAAAAAGTTGGAAAATAGCATTTCTGTTTGCAAAACTTTGTCGCTTTCATAAACATCAAAGATCGTATTCAGCATAATTAATAGAATCTCACTTAACTGTTAACTTTTCATTTCTCAGTTAACTACTAATTTTTTTGGCCAATTATCAGTTAACTACTGGTTTTTAGGCCAAATATCAGTTAACTACTAACCCCATTGGCACCCTCTATTTTACATCATACAAAAATGAAATCCTCAAATGGTCAGTATTTTCAAGATGAAAAAAGGGGCATTCTGCAGTGAATTATAACGGTCGTAAGCGTAAGTATTAATACCATCGTCCTGGATGTACCCTTTGATATTAAAATTTATAACTTCTTATTTTATGGTTACTGCTTCTAATGGTCTTCACGGTATATACTTAAGGTTACAAATTGTACGTAAGCTGCTGCGAGTAAATACTGATACTACATCAAAAAAATGGCACTATAAATTGCCATACCAATATTTTTAGAGGAGCTCTGGCGCGCTAAGCGCGCCTGCGGAACACCATGGGTAAGTAAATCTACCCATCCCAGAAAATTTGGTAATCACGTGACCGTACACCGCCCGCCCGCCCGCTGCCCGTCCGTCCGCACCACAGGCATACCAATGTTTACTCTCACACTTTCTAGCTACTTTGGGAGCCCAGGAGAAAGCTGATTGCACATCAATGTTGTCATCAATTGACAGCTGTCAAAACAGGGTATCCGCTGACCAGTATCACCTGACCGTATCGCAGGCTCAGGTGTCGACCCATCAAGGTCGAGTATTTTTGTGAAGTTATCCGCTGACAATTTACTCGTCTTCAAATGATCGTAGGCTCATGTTTACTTATTTTTTAAATTCATATCAAATATGTTGTGTTTATGTCAGTATCGCCCCGCACTATTACGATTTTGATTTCAAACTGACCTCAGACGCAAAAATTTAGCCAGTTTTTTTAAAATACAGGCGGGTAAGACCTTTTCTAACCATGGTCACGTGTTGGTCACGTTCCACGTCCAATTTTTATGCTCTGATTGGTTAAAATTTGACTGGTGAGTTCGTGCGTAAAATTCATGCAGCATCTTGAAAGTTGTTTACAGCTGAAGCTGACAGAGTTTTGAGTCAACTTGTGAGGTTTTTAACTGTCTTTTTCCACTGGATGTGAAAAATGAAATACAGCTGCTATCAAGAGTGTTCTCTTATTCATAGCTGGTTTGTTTATTGGGTTTTTGCTTGAGAAATGCATCGCTTGTCAAAGCCGATAATCCGATTTCGGATGGCATCGTTTTTGTTTTTCACCTTGCTGGATGCGTACGAGAATTATAAAGGTTCAAGCGATCCTGAGTTTGCCTTTTGGTCGAGGGTCGAGGGTCGAGGGTAAATGGTCGAGGGTCGAGGGTAACTAGTCGAGGGTCGAGGGTAAATGGTCGAGGGTCGAAAAATCCTCCACAATTATTTCTGAATTTTTTTTCAATTTAAAACCTAAAATTCCCAAATAAAGCAACCTAAGGAAAGAAGCGTGACAGGAAGTTTCTCCGCTGTTCGTTTGGTATACATCTCTCCTGGGTTATATCGATTCTGCCAAAAAAGAATACAACCGCCAATCTCGTAAACCAAGCTCAAGCGCTGCTTAGAGCACACTGTAACTGGTTGTGGATTTTATCTTTTTATCAGGCGGAATGCTAACTAATTACCCAATTATCACGCGGTTCCGTTCTCATTGCACCACAAACTTCTCAGGAACGGCAGTCAGTCTTTGTAACACTCAAGAAAACAAATTATTAAATAGTGATAGCAGAAACCCAGTGGTTTTCCCTGGATTTCAGAGGATGGGTAACCCATACTCGCTAAACATCGACAGCCACCAAAAGGCGTCCTCTAAAATAATACAACAGGGAAAATTTTCGTGTTCACCATCTTTTTGAATTAATTGATTTTATATGGCCTCAAGATTGGAATGTAGCCGACTAGCTGGTGACTCGCTATTGAGGCAAACTTTGCAATTGGAGTCTGGGCGTGTTCCTTTGAGTGACAGCTGTCAATACCTTCTGTCTCGTCGTTCCACCTTTACTTGCTCATCTCTCAGGACTTGCAAACTTCTGACTCAGGATCTTCTCTGTTCAGTTATCGTTATGGAATCATTTATCAGTCGATTGGAACAGAAAGGCTTTATTGTCTCCTTTAATCCAAAAGGAGATGGAAGCTGCTTTTTTTCGGCGGCTGCACACCAGCTGAATCAAGACGTTGCGCGCTTAAAGGAGGCAACCTTCGACTATCTGTTAAGTCATCGTTTTGATGTAAGTATTTTTATTGTTAGTGATTAGGAGCATAGAAATAGATAGGAAACGTATTTTAATGCAGAGAGGTAACGTCAGTTACGAAAAGGGCAAGTCAGAAAGGTTATACAAGCTAGCATGGTTCGCGTTTCATGTTTTCTTTTAGCCTTAATTGATTAAGAACTTTACAATAACCGGCCTGTCATTGATTGAACGTTAACTAACTACATGATACTCGGCAAACTAGTCTGACCAGGATGCAGGGTGTGAAGTATAAGTTGAATACGGAGCCCCCGTAAGTGGACTTGAATAATAGCTAAGGAAATGAGTGAAATGTAAAATGACAAAGTGAGTAAAAGCTGAATAATGCTACTGAGCCGATGTGGGCGAATTTCAAAACGAACTCTTTCCGTACTCGTTTTACTTTTATATGAAATCAAATTTCATATTTTATATGAAATAAAATTGTATTGTTTTATATAAAACAATACCTTAGCAATTTCTTTGCCGACGATCCCGTGTTGTTTACAAATTTTCTTGCGCAAGCTCTAGCGCCTGTTATGTCGGTGAGACAAACCGACATCTTGCTACACGTGTTCGTGAACATTTAGCATCCGACAAGAACTCGCACATCTTTCAGCACATTCATGGGTCAGAAACATGCAGAGATTTGTGCTCAGAGAATTGCTTTTCAATCCTTGACACCGCCTCCACGCCTTTTAAATTGAAAATCAAGGAGGCCTTACACATAGGTTGGGAAAACCCCTCATTAAACAAGCAAGTTAATCATGTTAATTTATCACTTTCATTTTAATTTTTCCGTGTTAATTACCCATTTACGTTGTTATTTAATATTCACACTTAATATTTAGCTATCCTTTATATCTTACCGACTAGCGGTTCATTTGTATTCGCAACTGACGATGGATGTTGTTCATCTGAAACATGTTTTGTAAACTCAAAACTGTGTTTTTATTTGAAAAATATGCCAGACTGCTGGCAATTCCATTCCCGTCTCTCTTTCTACTGAAGTGACTGAAGAACTAAAAAAGTGGCAATTGAGAAAAACCCAGGAAAAAAGAAACAACAAATGGCGAACATGACGTGAAATGTTTTAATAATAACAATATTCAAAATATTCAACAGCACGACCGGAACGACCGTCTAGGTTTCGTGTGCGAGGAGGACTTCTCAGACAAGAAAAAGCCCGTTCAATGGGAAGAGGCTATCAAAAAATTGCGAGGCGAATTCGCTAACAACCTGGTTATCCAAGCTTTCTCGGATGTGATGCACCAGGAAGTCGTTGTACCCACTGTACACGGGGTAAGAGGATTTGTTATAATAGTGATACTACCACTCACTACGGCCGCCGCTGCTGTTACTACCACTAACGATGATGGTGATGATGATGATGATAATAACAATTGATTTGTAATAAGACAACTCGTCTCCAACAACATTTTCGAAATGAATAAGATCCACTGTTTGAAAGGTTTTTCACTTTCAAGTTTCTCATTTTTCATTGTTAATGAATTCGCAAATTAACGCGTCGCGAAAAATTCATGTTATAAGGCAGTATAACATGAAAAAGTAAAAGTATTTTATTATTTACAGGGAGAGGACGATTGTATGAGAACAATGACGCCAAGCTCAGGGATCTGTTTTGGCACCATATTTTTGGGGCATACTGGTGATGGTGACCATTATGTGGCAATTGCCCCTACAAATAAGGTAAATTGAAAACTCATGCTTCCTGAAGAATACCTTGGACTGATATAATTCCATAAGTAAGTTTAAAGTTATATCAGATGAATATAGACAAATAATTGAATCGCATGATAATAGCGTTATAAACAGGGGCGACCTGTCTGTCAGGGAGAGGGGGAGGGAAGGGTGAAAACAATATGCGAGATATAAATAATAGCCTCCATTTGGGGTGAAAATATACACGGATATTTGTCCGCGGACATTATCTGTTCCGAGAAGCGAACAGTTTTCCGAGAGCGTACCTCGAGGAAAACTTGGAGCTTTGAGGAACAGATAATGTCCAAGGACTAATATCCGTGCCTATTTTCACCCCAAATGGAGGCTATTGTGGTTATTATCCTTCAAATATTTTTCGCAACACGCGCAGGTTTGAATATTCGGTCACGTAACGTGTTTAGACCAATCGGGCGCGAGCGAAAATATTTGATGGATTATAAAAGTTGATATAAGTTTATGAAAGCTCTATGCACCTTTTTTTACAGGGTACCGGTAGCTATGCTGATGCCACTAAATTGCCAGCCAGTACCCCAGATGATGATGTAGTAGTTACGGCGGTTTTGAAAAAAGAGCTGTTATCACCAAAGAAGTCTCAAGGGAATGGTGCCTTTAATAAACGCTTTTATGAATGCTTTTATTTCCATTGATGTCAGATTATTGATAAAATTGCTTTTTTTCATCACCAGTCTCATCTTTTTCATAACGATGATCGCGAAGAAATCGTAAGCACTAGAAGTTCAGAGGAATCAGCCGACGAAGATAGTACGCCAAAGGAATCGACCCACTCGAAAGTGTCTGACAGGACTAAAAGACGGCGTACTTCATCGGTACGTTTCTCGCGGTATGGCATTAAATAATAAAGTAACGATGAACAGAAACAATACCGAGAATGATAATGATCTAACTGCTTTGCTTTTCCCTATAGCAGAAAGAAGAGAAGGAGAAAGAAGTTGATCTGATAGATCTGACGATGTCGTTTGACCAGCTTAGCCCTGCTGAGAACACACCGACAAAGACAGGGCAGAATCAACGTCCTTCCAATGCGAAAGCCAAGGATCTATTCAATGACATTGCAAGGTAAAAGAAAGTACAATCATTGATACTACAGGGGTGAAGAAAAAAATTAAGAACTTCGGGTCTGAAATTTCCACGATTTAAGAAGTCTTAATAGGCGGTAAAGTAAAATAGCAAGTAACTCTGTTTACGACTTCAGGCACCTAAGATCGTTGTCGTTATCCTTATTATTTCAGTACCACGGTATGCCCTGATGATCCCGTCAAAATAGAACCAGGGAGTGGTTCAGACGAAGAATTGCTACGACCCGCTTTCAGGTAAAACTGTTGTGCATTACAAATTGAACCAGCACATGAATTCTGTTATGAAAGCAACTCAGAGGGCGAGGATGGGAAGTGGGCGAGTAGCGAGCAACGGGCCCATTCCTTTTTGTGATGTGCTGGCTAAACGAGGCAAGCATGTTGTTATTTCGTTTATCCACCCGAGGCAACATTGTGGCAACAACAACTGCAACAAATGTTTCGAACTCCCTCACTGAAACAACTTGTTGTACACAGCGTTTGCTCGTTGAAGCATTACAGGCGATATCGCAAACTTTTCCCATTTCTAGGAGAAAAATTTTCCCATAATAGTTGAGTTAATAATAATAATAACAATAATAATAATAATAATAATAGTACTAATAGTACTAATAATAATAATGAATGATAATTAAAATGATATTAATAATAATAATAATGATGATGATAATTATAATACCATTAATGATTACTTAGCTGGTTCAACCACCCTGAAAACATCACATACAACGCTGTTGCCATAACAAATTTACTTCGTTCGGCCATTTCAAGAAACATTTCGGCAACATTCCTTTATAGAAGTTGAATAGGGCATGTTAATTGGAACTTCTTTGAGGCAATATCTCTACTCGGGGGCTCATAGAACGGAATAGACTCCTCAAAGCAACAATTTCCTTCTTGCCCTTAAATGGATGATAAAGTCAGGGGTCTTGACTGCCGCTTTTTGGAATACCGACCAGCCCATGCAATCCAGTTCTTTTAGATGGATTGTTTTAGTTAACTGGGTCCTATATGGCATTTGACAATGTCCATAACTTTTTTCGCAAAGTGCCTCAGGAGTCTCAGATAAAGATCTCAAAAACGCTATGTACAGTTCACTTCAAGCTTGAACTAAAAGCAGGTATAAAAATTTAAATCTGTAATGTGTAGCTATTGGATGAAACTTTGTAAGTCATACCATTATTAGCTACGCGCGCTAACTCGTTTTGACCTTTTTCTTCAATTCTTAGCAAACAAGAGTCGGAACCGGAATCTGACGACTCCATCATTCAGGAGAAGCTGAAACAACGCAAAATATCGAAATCCTTATAGGTCAATGTACAAAACGTGACAGTGAAATCCCTACCCATTGGAATCAATGGACTTAATATACGAAATTAAGGATTTTCGTCGAAAGCTTGATGCCCTTCAAGATGGCAGAAAATGGAAAAAAATTGTCCCACTGAATGGAAAAACCATGGCCGTGTGCGCTTTGCTGATTGCAAGGGGTCGTATGAATGCGTCCAAAAACAGTGTCCTTTTAAAATGGAATTTGGTGTAACAAATACAACGCAGTTCGAAAAGGAAGGAGGTGAAATGATTTGCAAAGGCTGTGGTAAAGTCGGAGAATATGTTGCATGCAGTGCGCGAAGGTATCTTAGTTATCGTAGTAAAGCAGTGACTGTTTACCACGTTGGTAATCACACATGTCCCGTCAATGATAGTCTCCGAAAAAAGGACGTCATGAGCATCGAACAAATTATACGGAATCAACCAAACATCAAGCCCTCCGAGGTACGGTCGGCGTTCGTCATGTCCGCATTTCAACAGCAAATGGACTGGAAAGCAGTCGAAAGAGAGGCCAGTGCTGTATTGGATAAGAAACGTGTATCTAACATGAAACAGAAACTGAAGAAGGATATAGAGCCTTTTGGTCACAACTTTGAGGCCATTGTCTCTTTTAAGGAGTATGCAGACAAAAAAGACCCCTTATATGTGTACAAAATCAATGACAATAGAGGGCACACGGACATGCCATCCTTTGTATTCAAGACAAGCACATCGAAAATGAAAATGGCATTAAACATGGACAAAAAAGGGGACCATTTTCTGAGCAAAGAATTTTGTTTTTTTGATGGGAAAAAGAAACGGTGCAGTGGGTTTATCACGCTAACAGCCAGTGTGTATCATCCTTTGCTGCGCAAACAGTTACCGCTGGCTACAATGGAGGCAGTGACCGAGGACACGGTAAACGTCGAACTTTTCTGGCGTTTATTTAATGAAGCCCTCAGGAAAGGGTCCGGTTCGGATAGTGCTACATTTGACCCTATAGGCTGGTGTAGCGACATGGCAGGCGCTAATTTAGCCGGAATTTCAAAGGTTTTTGGGGATGAAGCCGAAATTAAATCGTGTGAGTTCCACTTTAAAGACCACAGAAACAAAAAAGCTCAAAAACTAGACAGTAAGAGCAATGACGAGTTTAAACAACTGTGTGACAGGCTGTTACTGTGCACAACTGTTGCTGGATACCAGGCCGCCAAGTCTGATATGGACTTATTTATTGCGGCCGATGATGGCAGGGCTTTCCTGACAGACTGGGTATCGTGGTGGCATGAGCGACGTGGGTTCATTTTCCGTGCCTTCACCAACCCCAATGTACCGCAAATGAACCAAGCGGAAGTGATTCACGCTGGTTGGGCTCACCGAGACCGCCAAAATTTGTCTCAGCTAGACGCGTGTCAAGCAGACACACGAGACGCTTTGCTGCTTGACGTAGAGATCAAAGCTTACTTGACCGGCGCTACACCCGGAGGAAAGGGTCCTTCGTTTGCTGACCGCGCACGTACACAACATGAAGCAGAAGTGAGGAGAGAGAAGTCAACAGGGAGGGAGATGTTTTGCTCTCCTGAGGGGCTGCTCGTTGATGCAGGTTCCTCACACAAACCACCTTCGCGGAAAAAGAAGGCAACTAAATCAAAGGGTCCAGGTTTACCACCGCCACAGGCACTCAGTCAAAGCGTAAATCCCCCGCCTACTTGGCAGCCGAGCTACCCTCCTTCCGATGGCGCTGCCAACATTATACAGCCGCGGATCCAGACTTTTTCTCTACCGCCAGTGCATCCTCAACCACCTGTTCCTCAGCCGCCTCTCCATCAACCGTCTTTCCCTCTATCACCAATGCTCTCTGCTGGCTTACAGCCCTCGTGGAATTCTAGCATGTCGCCAAGTATCTACGAGTTGATCGTCACGCCTCCAACAGTGAGAAAATGTTATGGGTGTGGGAACGACCTGGGTGATAAATACAAAACTCCACCCTGTAATATTATAATAAAGCATGTAGACAAACGGGTCACCGGGAAAGATTCTGCAACAGGTCAGCTAACACACAGTCAGGACTATTCAAACACGTATTATCATCCCATAGCGGCTCATATAACCAAAAAGAATCCGCTTTTTTCCGGCCAAGTTTACGTGAGCTTTACAGCTCATGGGATGATGACCAGCCGAATTACGTCAACACGCTTAACAGCCTAAATATTTTTTTAAGTAGGCTTTTAATTGAATGGGTTTAATTGCCGCATGCCTGCGGTATTCCGAAATTTCACAAAGAAGAGGCAAAACAATGGTACTTCTTGTACCGAGGTTTGTTAAAATTTTTGGCGATACACCACTTCAACTTAAGCTTTATTTCTCTGGAACTACATATTTAGGAGTAACCAATTAACTTTTTAACCGAGTCGATAAAGCTTATTGTCATGCTTATTCAGTTGCGTGATATTTGCAGTTTCAAGTTTCGTTTTCCGGAGCAATCTAAAATGTAGTGGGTCTGGGATATATACCCGTTAAAAGTACCATTGTTTCGATCTCTTCCTTTACTCCTCCGTACTTCGCTTTCATTTCCGAATTTCAAGAGGCTTTAAACCGATGGTGTGAATTTCTTGTTAGTATTTGCTATAAGTGTTTGCCAGCCTGTGAAGTCTGTGAATGCGGCATTTGACAAGTTGTGTTTATTACGTTGTTATCGTTGAGTTTTCCATGTTTTTGTCTTACAGGCAGTAAAATAATCACGCTGACCCAAGTCTCACATAGGACAAAACTAGTGGACGTGGGAAATATTAAATACAAACAGTGAAAGTTACCAGATTAGCAGCCTTTTCATAAGCGAGTGAAACGTTAGACAAGAAAACCATTGGGTCTCTGCTTTCAATATTCAATATTATTTACTCCAGTGTTACAACGATACATGATGCACGTGCCACTAGATGTTAATGTAATACTCACCTTCATCATCGTGGGAGTGTAAAAGTTATAAACAACACAACACAAATAAGACAGGAACCGGAAACTCGAGTAAGCACGAGCCTACTTGAAAATTTGATTTGACGACGTTCAGAAATATTTGTGGAGAATTTTCCACCCTCTATTACTGATAAGCGAGTGAAATATTAGACAACAAAACCATTGGGTGTGTGCTATCAATATTCAATATTATTTACTCGAGTGTTTCAACGATAAATGATACACGTGCCCCTAGGTGTTAACGTAAAAATAAAACAGGCACCGGAAACTCGAGTAAACACGAAATTTTGATTTGACGACGTTCAAAAATAATTGTGGAGGATTTTTCGACCCTCGACCATTTGCCCTCGACCCTCGACTAGTTACCCTCGACCACTTACCCTCGACCTCGACCTTCTTTTATAGTGTTCAGTACTCGATGGAAAGAAAGTCGACTAAACGGCGTTTAAACCAGCCGTAGGACACAGAGTGGCTATGAACGAAAGGTAAGGGAGCTTTTTGAATCAATATTTCGCGTGATCATGATTTTTTTTCCCTTAGCGTTGTAGATTCGAATACATGTGATAAAATTCGATCAATAAGGGCCCGAATCACATGTAATAATGCAAGAAATATCGATTTTCGTTATCTTAAAGGCTACTAGTACCGATAGACAAACAAGAAGACTTCATATCTTTAAGACTTTTTGCATTTATTTGGCATCAGATAATATACTAATAATTCTAGTATATTCCCACCAAATGACCTCTGAAGCCCGAACCCACAAATATAGTGCGCTTGGGCTGCCTGTGGTTTCTACTTCATTGAAAGCACGACGCATACAGTGGGATAGCTTAAAAAACAAGAATCGGTGAAATATCCATATTCAAACTACCCCAATGAACAGCCAAGCAAGGGAGAGAAGAGGCAGACGTGACTGAAATCTAAGCCGCGAAGCAGGGGCACCCAACCACAGTTACCTCCTAAATGCATTGAAAACACTTTTTCGCTTATCCAGAGTACTTTCAAATCTCTGGAAATGCATTCTAAGCGGCGTTATAAAATTGTATCTGTTCGGTCGTCCTAGGGCAACTTGAATCTTTTCGAAATCACTTAGGGCCTCAGTATTATTTTCCCGAAAATTTTAGATGCAATTTTAGGTTTTACGAAAGTGAGAATTTTTCTGATTCCTCTCTCCATCGCATTTTCGAATCCGAAAATTTTAGATTTCCTTTTTCTACGAAAAATAGGCTAAGTTGGGGACTGAAATGTGAAAAACTAAACTTTAGAAAATCGTAGGGAATTAATTAGATAAGCTACGAAAACTGTACATGAATGGAACGGCCATCTAGAAATTTTTAGCCTTCCTCAAGTAACAGAAAATTGTAGGCAATTTTTGCTTCTCCGAACAGATATTTTACAGAAAACAGTCGTTCGGTGCCCGTGCCTAAGCTCTATGACTTTTTTTTTAGGCAAAACCTGTCTACCTTCACAGGAAGGGAGAAGGTTCTTTTAAGTTCTTTTTTGTTGTTCTCATTAAACAACAACAACAACAACATCACATTTTCTTTATGGATGTCCCGGAGCTTTTCTCTATTCCACCCCCCACCTTACAACTAGAAGATGTTCACGCGCCATTTGTTTTTTAAATTCTTCTTATTTGTTTTAATGACATTGATTGCATCGATTATTACCTTTTCCAAAAAAAAAAAATTTGGAAAAAAAATGTTACCCTCGACCCTCGACATGGTACCCTCGCCCTCGACATGGAACCTTCGACCCTCCACCCTCGACAAAAAGATAGACTCCTTGATAGCATACAGGAGCTGCATCTCGAAATAGAGTTTGCCTTTTGGTCGAGGGTCGAGGGTAACTAGTCGAGGGTCGAGGGTAAATGGTCGAGGGTCGAAAAATCCTCCACAATTATTTCTGAATTTTTCTTCAATTTAAAACCTAAAATTCCCAAATAAAGCAACCAAAGGAAAGAAGCGTAACAGGAAGTCCAATAAATACCATAATACCATTAAACTGTTGACTGAGAACTCAACTCTAATTTTCTTTAACTATAAGACATTTAAGATTCGATTTAAGATAGAGTACAATGCATGTGCTTTTTTTCGTTTTCTTTCTACATATTAGGAGTAACCAATTAACTTTTTAACTGAGTCGATAAAGCTTATTGTCATGCTTATTCAGTTGCGTGATATTTGCAGTTTCAAGTTTCGTTTTTCGGAGCAATCTAAAATGTAGTGGGTCTGGGAAATATACCCCTTAAAAGTACCATTGTTTCGATCTCTTCCTTTACTCCTCCGTGCTTCGCTTTCATTTCCGAATTTCAAGAGGCTTTAAACCGATGGTGTGAATTTCTTGTTAGTATTTGCTATAAGTGTTTGCCAGCCTGTGAAGTCTGTGAATGCGGCATTTGACAAGTTGTGTTTATTACGTTGTTATCGTTGAGTTTTCCATGTTTTTGTCTTACAGGCAGTAAAATAATCACGCTGACCCAAGTCTCACATAGGACAAAACTAGTGGACGTGGGAAATATTAAATACAAACAGTGAAAGTTACCAGATTAGCAGCCTTTTCATAAGCGAGTGAAACGTTAGACAAGAAAACCATTGGGTCTCTGCTTTCAATATTCAATATTATTTACTCCAGTGTTACAACGACAAATGATACACGTGCCCCTAGGTGTTAACGTAAAAATAAAACAGGCAAGTAAACACGAAATTTTGATTTGACGACGTTCAAAAATAATTGTGGAGGATTTTTCGACCCTCGACCATGTACCCTCGACCCTCGACTAGTTACCCTCGACCACTTACCCTCGACCTCGACTAGTTACCCTCGACCAAAAGGCAAACTCCTCGAAATATGGTAAGCCTGAGTAACTATTGTATTTACATCTAATTTCATGAAGTCCAGCGGCGCAGTTTATGAAGCTACAATAGTTTATGTACATTTGTATTAAGATTTGACTGAGACACTGATCTGACCTAGTATGAGGTTTGACATAAGCTTAAGCTTACAAAACTTTAAAAAGCCTTTAGTCGATATTAATTCACCGTAAATAGAAAGAAAAAACTTTCCGAAGAATATTTAGTTATAATTTTGGCTGTAGAAAGAAAGCTTTGAGGGATTTTCTTGTCGTGAGTTCATCTTTAAAAAAAGCAAACACCGGGAAACCGGCGGCTTAAAACATGAACTTAATCTTTAAGCTTACTAGTAAAGACTTGAGGATTCTTAGAGACATTTAAATACTCATTTGTTTTCGTGAATGAAAATTGTTGTCTCTGTAAATGTTCTACCGAATTATATTTCTTTATTGATTGTTGGTAGTCTCAAAAGTGTAATTTTCATCGCTTTGCCGTTTGTTTTCAGGCGTTCATAAACATCGCTTGCAGGAGTACTCAAAATGCCGAGCGTATCAAACGCTTTTTAAGATTACACATCGTTATAAAACCATTAAGAAAAATAGACTCAATAAATTCTTTATCACGTTGAAGCGTAACTCGTTTAAAATTTCTTCGCAAATTTGGCGCTTGTCAAAAGTTAAAACCGGCTGGCCGTATAGGGGATTTTGGACATTTTTTGAACGGTTTCGCTGATTAAAAGTCCACGCGTGCTTCGATGGTCCTGAGTATTGAATGAATGCAATTTGTCTTGAAAAATTGTGAAATACTGCATTTTGTACGAGGTCTGTATGATAAAAAAAGCGCCTCATAGTACTCTTTCTCCTCAGATGTGGTGTATAAAAAAAATAAATAAATAAAAGACTGGTTTGCACGCACCCAGATGTATTGGCAAGAATTTGTAAACTTGTCGAACGCAAAAAATTCGGCCTGATTTGTTTTCCAAGAATTTGTTTTCCACGCCTTATCTACGGTGATCAAGAGCCATTATTGCTCATAAATGTGACCGAAGACTATTTTTTGGATGTCCATATAAGGCTATATAAACTCGATACAAGGTTTGTTTCACTCCAAAATCACTTAGCTTTTCCCTCAAAAGTTACATGAATGTGCCCTTAAGTTAACTGATTTGTGGAATACAAAATTATTGTTTGATTTAAGTTATAAATTTATCAATGGAAGCTTCGCTTTTAGCTGTGGCTAAATCTATATATTATGATTGCAAACAGTAAATCTATTGAGTTATTTACGATTTACCACTAAATAACCATAACCTGAATAATCGGCGACTTGACTGTAAACCGAATAATTATTTTTGAAAAACGGTAAATCTACTAATAGACACATAGGCGTACTTTGTGATTTGAACCTTAAGGTTGATTTCCACTGACGCGTTTTTGGCTACGCACGTTAACGCACGTAAATTTTAATCACGTAAATAAAATAGACATAAGATATAAAGTGTTGAGATTAAACGCGAAGTTGAGAGAGGTTCTACTTTTACGCTTACGTGCGACCTTTCACACATTGCCTCTATTTTACTTGCGAATGTAAATCTTACGCACGTACGCACGTAAAAATTACGCGTCAGTGGAAATCAACCCTTGGAAAAAGCGGTAAATATATTAAAGGGACTGGTTCACGATAATGCGCATGTGTGAGTTCTGACAGTAGCTGATTGTTTTTCAACCAATCGGAAGCGAGTTAGATGCACGCAAGTAAATTTACAAAATTCAAATTAATTGTTCGCGACGCGAGAGTATTTCCGGGCATTTGGTTTGATTTTATTTATCCCCATAATTCAATTTTATTCTTTGCTACTCCTCAGATATATGTTGCAGCCGATAAGAATAAACAGTCACCGATCGGCAAACAAAATTTGTAAACAAACATCTTATTACTGTTCTCTCAGTTCGCCTTATATAAACCCAGAAATACCTAAAAATAGCGCCTGACCAGTGACAAAAACACACAACGTATGAGTATAAAGATTATCCTTAACTGAGCATAAATTTCAATTGCTTATCAGCAAATGAACAAGTTCATTCGCGTTGCATCGGGTCAGTGTTCCGCAAAACAAATGTTATCGAGTAGCATACATTGCTTGCTTCTTCTCAAAACGTAACCAGTCAAACGACACAACCACACGTTAATCACCACTACCGAAGTATAACTAGACCAGCCAAAGCGACGGATGTCCGAATAAAACGAAGGATTTTCAAGGATTGTACCGGTAATGGTGATTTCGAATTTAGTGTTGACCCGACAAATTTATTCTGAAGAGACAAACGGCGCGCATGCGCATTATCGTGAACCAGTCCCTTTAAATGAAAACTTAAGTACCTCAATGGATTTCCATCAAAACGTATATCCGGAACGCTGAATGGATGCAAATTATGAAGCGACTGCAGCACAAAAACCATTTGTTTGTTCCTTAACAGACGTCTTGCGATTGTCTCGATAAATTAAGGTGCCACCGTGCATTGGGCAAATAATTGGGAGACAAGGCAGACCTCCGTGAGCATGATCTTCGGTGGAAGTGATCAAGTACTTACTCGACTGGCATAGTTTGGGTACAACACATCAGTCTGGAAATTCATGTATGTTAAACGAATCGTCTCGCACTTTGCGTTAAAAGCGGTAAAACACTTACTAAGGGCTTAGATGTCAACTCAAATGCCGGCAAAAACATTTCCAGCGTCCTAATTAGATAGCTGGGGATATGCACTGGAAAAGCCCAGAAAGTGGTGGGTTAAAGGGGGCGATTTTTTGTCTACAGCTAAGTTTAAACATATCCGTGACAAATAATAATAATAATAATAATAATAATAATAATAATAATAATAATAATAATAATAATAATAATAATAATGGCGGAGGCGGCGGCTGCAGGTCGGTCGCTTGCTGGAAAACCAGGAAGGCTAAAATGGACAGATAAGATGAATCAAGATTTACTACAATGCAGGGAAAAAGCCTTAAGCTTAAAAAGCTCAAGCAACCCGCCATGTTATCAGAACGGACGCAAGAAAGGATATATGCGCATTTTGAAAGATCTATGGGATGACGTGGGATACGTGAACTTGGGGTTATCAGCTCAGAATCTTCGCGACCACGCAGCAGCGATAACGGATGAAAACTCACAAATAAGTGTTAGAGGCGACTCTTTAACTGTTCTAGACGAAACAGAAGAGGTTGGTGCCTCTATTTTGTCACAAACCGAGGGTCTCGAACCCGCCCAATGCGAAGGTGAAAATTTATCAAACGTGAATGTGGTCGAAGGTTCGAATTTGCATATTTCTTCCGACATTGCTGATCAAAGAGCTCCCCAGAGACGGACTGCTACTTGCAAGGATCAAAACTCCAAAAATCAAATCAAGCGAAATCTGCCTGATTATGATGTGCTTCCCTCCGAAACAAAGAACAAAACTTGGGGCAGTATTAGTTACGCATGTTTCTGTAATACTGTCAACGATGTTTACGATGAAATCGTCCACTACAGGAGGAATAAATTCAATGTTCCATCGGGTTGCGCAGGGAAGAGTTTCATTGAAGAATTAACCTTCTGGATTAAGCAATTTAATTCAGACTCTGACCTGAACTCGGTCGCTCTTAAAGCATTCATGGTGCTCCCAACTTTGATTTTGCAAAAACCATCCGCTACTTCCAAAAGCAAGGAGCATAGTGAAGCAATAGAGCGTCGATTAGCACTCTGGAAACAAGGGGACATTGATTTGCTGCTTAAAGAAGTGAGGTTCTTTCAAGGGAAATTTGTGAATTCCAAGAAACCTAGAAAGGTTGAAGACATATCCAAAGCCTTCTCAAAGCTGGTTCTGCAAGGAAAATTGAAACTACAATGAAACTCCTAGATAACGAGAGTTCGTCCGGTCTGCTCGACCTATCGCCAGATGTCCTGCAAGGGCTACAGGACAAGCACCCACAGGCAGCTGATATCGCAGAGGAGAGTTTGTTACATGGCCCAATTGATTATATTCCGCCAAACGTTTATGACCTCATAGACGAAGAATCGATCTACAACTCGGCAAGCAAAACCAAGGGCTCAGCCGGACCATCTGGAATGGACGCAGAGCTGTATAAGAGAATCCTGTGCTCTAAGAATTTCAAGACCGAGGGCAAAATATTGAGAGACGAGCTAGCCGTGTTCACAAGAAATCTGCTAAGGAAATCGTACCACCCATCCTTACTTGAAGCCTTTACGTCCTGCAGGCTTATCCCGCTTCACAAGAACCCAGGAATCAGACCAATTGGTGTTGGAGAGGTACTAAGGAGAATAGTGGGGAAAACGGTCAGCGGTTTCTTAAAGGAGGAAATAAAAGAAGCGGCGGGTCCCCTACAAGTTTGCGCTGGTCATAATGCAGGAGCGGAGGCTGCGATCCATGCGATGAGTCAAGTGTTTGATGAAGAAGGAACAGATGGAATATTGCTAATTGATGCTAGTAACGCTTTTAACCAAATGAATAGGTCAGCGGCCTTACACAATATCCAGATCATGTGCAAAGAAATGGCGCTCTATGTCATTAACACATATAGAAGCCCATCAAGACTGTTTATTTGTGGGGGAGGTGAAATACTTTCTCGAGAAGGCACCACACAAGGAGATCCGCTAGCGATGCCATGGTACGCACTTAATACATCCATAATGATACAGAATTTGAGGGATCATTGCCCATTGGTTAAACAGGTGTGGCTTGCAGACGACTCAGCTGGAGGAGGGAGTATAGTGCAGTTATACAACTGGTACAGGCAATTGAGTAAGGAAGGTCAAAAGTTTGGTTACCTTGTGAATGGGACAAAGAACTGGCTTATTGAGAAGTCTAGGGAACTCGCGGAGGAAGCAAAGAGGGTGTTTGGAGAGGAAGTCAACATAACGACTGAAGGTCAGCGCCATCTGGGAGCAGTTATTGCGTCGCAAGAATACAAAGATCAGTATTGTGAGGAGAAGGTTCGTGCATGGAAAGAGGAAATCGAACGTCTCTCTGAAATAGCGAAGAGCCCGCCCCATGCGGCGTATATTGCTTTCACAAAAGGCTACAAGTCGGAGTTCACATACTTCATGCGCACGATTGAATCGTTTGAAGTTTATGTCGATCCAATCCAGGAAGTGATTGAAGATTTACTACTCCCAACTTTGTTCGGTCAATCAGAACCTCTCCCTAACGAGGTGCGCAGACTTGCTACCCTAGCAACAGGTCAAGGGGGTCTAGGCATTCCTGATCTGAAATCCGAGGCACCGCAGCAGTTTGCTGCCTCGAGACTAATAACCACCGCGCACGTAGATTCTATTACTTCACAGAGTTCCATCATGGTGTCAGGAGAAAGATCTACGGAGGAGCTAAAGAGGCATCAACAATCACTTAAGAGAGCAAGTGCCAAAGTGAAAATGGATAGCATTGATTCAAGCCTCTCCCCAGGCCTGCTGCGTCTGGTTAATCAATCGAGGGACAAGGGCGCAAGTTCTTGGCTGAATGCGATGCCTCTCGCAGACAAAGGTTTAGCCCTCAACAAGCAAGAATTCAGAGACTCGCTACGCTTGCGTTATGACTTGCCCTTAGTCGATTTACCAAGTCATTGCATATGTGGGGATAAATTCACCGTTAGTCACGCCCTCTCTTGTAAAAAGGGGGGGTTTGTAGCGCAGAGACATGACGGTGTACGGAACTTGTTAACGACATTCATCGACAAGATCTGCATAATGTCGAAATCGAACCACGCCTCCAACAACTGGACAACGAGCTATTTCATTTGAGGAGCGCTGTTACAAGTTCTGAGGCAAGATTGGACATCAAAGCGGGAGGTTTCTGGGCAAGAGGAGTTACGGCATTTTTTGATGTTCGAGTTACGCACGTCAACTCCAAGTGTTACCAGAGCAAGCCAACATCGGAAGTGTTCAAAGAGTGTTCAAAGAGCAAGAAGAAGAGAAGAAGCGCAAGTACCAGCAGCGGGTGTTAGATGTAGAAATGGGTTCGTTTACGCCTTTAGTGTTTGGACCCAATGGCGGAATGGGAAACGAGTGTCAGCGGTTCTTAAAGCATCTCGCAGACAAGATAGCTCAGAAAGACACCGAGCCTTATCATGTTGTAATCACTTGGCTCAGGACACAGATCTCGTTTGAACTCTTAAGATCGGTACATGCATGCGTCAGAGGTTCGCGAACGCCGTTTCGAGGCAAGATAGAGCAATCATTAGACTGTAAAATAAATGTCGCTAGTGCGGACATCTGAAATACTTGTCTATATGCTTTTATACTTAGGGCTTTTTATGGACACTGGTTTAGCCGTCATTAGTATAATTCGATTGTATGATCTTGATATCTCTGCATAATGGAATTCTTAATTTTATAGAATTTTGAACTTTTATTATTGATTATATCTATTTCCTCTTCTTTTATGTAAGGTTAAGTTACTTCTATTTTTTAGAATTTGTAAATGAATAGTTTTCTCTTTCTTCACTTATTATATATAGGATTTTTTTTGTTCTCTAATGAAGGAATTGTAGATAGTGTTTTGATGAATTGATTAGATTTTTTGTAACAGCAGGTTGATTGTAAATAGGATTTTAATTGAGGTTTTGTAATAAAGATTTTACCTTTTTTTATAATAATAATAATAATAATAATAATAGTAATGATAATAACAAGGTGAAAGCCAAAATATCTCCAAGAAAAAACAAAGAATTAAAAAGAAATACAAAATAACAACATATCAAGAACTGCAAACAGTAAGAGAATCCCTTAAAATGAAAATTCAAGCAAAAGCCCAAAGAATCAGGAGATATGTAAAAAGAAGTAAACAATTCAGTTAAAACCAGATGTTTGCAAACGATAGGAAAAAGTTCTTCAGAAATCTTGGTAAAGACCAGATATCAGTTGAAAAACCACCTACGAAAGAAGCAACAGAAACATTTTGGCGTAACATCTTGGAGAACGATAAAGAGCACAACCATTCAGCAGAGTGGATAAAGAGGGAGGAGCAGAAATATACTGATACAGAATGCCAACCATGGGGGCACATAAGCCGAGATGAGTTGCAGATTGTTTTAAAGAAAGCAAGCGACTGGAAGTCACCCAGCCCTGATGCAGTTCCTAACTTCTGGCTAAAGCAACTTACAGCACTACATCAACACCTACTGAATGCATATAACCAAGCAATAGAACACCCAGAGAATCTGCCTGATTGGTTCACTACAGCACAAACATCAACTACGCAACAACCCCAAAAACTATAGACCAATTGCCTGTTTATCAACATCCTTCAAGTTGCTTGCATCGATTTTAACCGAAAGAAGCTACACCCATATCACAAAGAATGATATATTGCCGGAAGAACAGAGAGGTTGTGTCAGTGATTCATATGGATGCAAAGATCAGCTCCTAATAAATAAAATGATCATAGAAGACTGCAAAAAGAAGAAAAAGAACTTGAGTATGACTTGGATAGACTACAGAAAAGCCAGAAAAGCCTATGATAGTGTTCCTCACAGTTGGATACTGAGGACCTTACACATGTACAGATTTAATGAAAAACTAATCAAGTTCATGAGGATCTCAATGAGCAACTGGAAAACTACAATGAAGCTATCTTACAATGATGGATGTATCACAACAGATCAGATCAAGATCAAAAGAGGGATCTTTCAAGGAGATTCATTCTCACCTCTGCTATTTTGTCTAGCCCTTGTGCCTTTAACATCACAGCTGGCTACATCTGGGTATGGTTACAAGATCTTAAACACAAGTGCTCCAATCAGCAATCTGTTTTATATGGTTCATCTAAAATTGTATAGCAAGAACGAGCAAGAACAAGTTGGAGAACTGAAAATAGTGAAACAATTCAGTGATGATATTGGTATGGAATTTGGACTTGAGAAATGTGCCAAAGCCAGTTTCAAGAAAGGTAAACTGGCCTCAACTGGAAACATAGTAATAGATGATGACACAGAAATACAAGAGTTGGACCAGGAAGGAGTATACAAATACCTGGGTGTAGATTAAAGTGATGGTATCCAGCATAGCAAAATGAAAGAGAAGATAAGGAAAGAATATAATAGGAGAGTAAGACTAATCCTGAGAACTGAGCTCAATGGAAGAAACAAAATAGAAGCTATCAACAGTCTTGCAGTCCCAGTTGTGCAATATAGCTTTGGCATCACTGACTGGAAAATCTCAGAACTGAAGAAGATTGACACAAAAACACGCAAACTATTGAACATGCACATCCTAAAGCAGATGTGGAAAGGCTGTACATCCCAAGAAAAGATGGAGGTAGGGGCCTGATTGATGTAGAAACAGCATTCAAAACAGCAACAATAGGGCTTGATCACTATCTGAAGCACAAAGAAGGGCAATATCCAAAGCAGGTGCTTGAACATGAAAGATCTAAAGCCAAAAATTCAATATCCAAGAATGCTACTAAGTTCAAAAGGGAAGTAACAATGCCAGAGATTGAGAACAGAGAAGATAAATCTGCCTCTGAAAATGCTAAAGCCCTGAAACACGTGTTTAAGTCCAAGATGAAGTCAATGAAAGAAGAAAAGTGGAAAAACAAAGCATTGCATGCCCAGTATACAAAGATCCTAGAGAAGCCTCATGTAGACACAGTCACCACCAACAAATGGTTGTCAAGCAATTTGAAAGGAGAAACAGAGGGACTACTTGTAGCAGCTCAAGACCAGGCAATAAACACCAGAAACTACCAGAAAGTAATATGTGGCCAGCAAGTGGAGAGCAAATGCAGAATGTGTTCGCAACATGAAGAGACAGTGGACCATATTGTATCTAGATGTGAGGTATTAGCCAAAACAGAGTACATCTTCAGGCACAATAATGCTGCAGCATATCTCCATTGGAGCATCTGTAAAGATTATGACAGAGATTACAGACAAATGGTACGAACACGAGCCAGAGACCGTGATGCACAATAAAGATAACAACATCACCATCATGCGGGACATGCCAGTCAATACTGATAGAACTATAACAGCGAAAAGACCAGACATCATCGTTAAAGATTCAGTGAAATACACCTGCAAACTGATTGATATGACTGTTCCATCAGATAGAAACATCGCACTGAAGGAAGCTGAAAAAAAAAAAAGAAAGTACGAAGACCTAGAACTAGAAATACAGAGAATGTGGCCTATGAAAACCGTAGTGATCCCTGTGATTGTTGGTGCGCTTGGTACAGTGAAGAAGGGTATGGTAGAAAACATCAAGAAAGTATCAGAGAGAGCTACTATGACAGAGAATCAAAAGATCTGCATGCTGGGATCTGCGCGAATCCTCAGAAAGGTGCTCAGTGTATGAACAGAATGATTGACTTGAGTGAGTGACGCTCCAGGTGTATGGTTTGCGCCCGGCTGATGCACAAAAAGAACACCAGCAAAGACTGTGATAAAAGAGATAATAATAATAATGATAATGATAATGATAATGATAATGATAATGATAATGATAATGATAATGATAATGATAATGATAATGATAATGATAATGATAATGATAATGATAATGATAATGATAATGATAATGATAATGATAATGATAATGATAATAATAATAATAACTAGAAAAACGTATCTCGCAATTTCCCCCGCGAAACTCGGTTTAGTTGGGCACTCAAATTAAGCCCTTTCGGAACTGGATGGGTGACTCACCGCGAATGTCATCGGGAAGGTCCATACTTTGTTCTTTCCAGTTTCTTCTTCTTCTTTTTTTCACATTGTGTGGTGTCATTTTTAAAAGTGTATTGAAAAGCATATTTAGCATTATTTCGGTTGCCGGATTTAGAAAAGAAAAAAACGCAAAAACGACAGTGCGGTTCGCATAAAAATTATTATACTTCGGGCCTTAGTACAGAGTATCCTTCGTGGCAGGCGTTTGAAAGGGAAAGGAAAGAGAATTTTAGGCGCGAGAGAAACGCGAGAGGCGCGCGAGGAGGGAGGGAAAGAAACGCCTGCCAAGAGACCATTGTATTTCTCGAGAAAAACGAGCTCGTTTTTAACATCCACCAGGCGAGTGTTAAAATCCTGATTGGTTAGTCTTCAAAACATGTCAATCACGGCCTTAATCCGATTGGTTGAAATCAACCTCACGCTTTGAATTCTGAGTAACTTAATCAGTTTTTCAGTAATCATTTAAAAATATATTGTTAGTGAAGGCATCAATTTCAGCTTCAAAGGAGAATAGAAGAAGACAGTTAAAAGAACCGCATGAAAGAAAAGACCTGTCAGCTAGATGAGTTTTACTGACTAGTTCTGAGAAGTCTCTTCCCCTAACGGCTTGTTTTACTCATTACAAGAAAGAAAGGACATATCCTGCTGCCTGTGTTCTTGTTATCTATTGTTTGACCTCAAACGCCTACCATGCAGCCGGGCTACGCTTTAATATATAGATTTAGCCACGGCTAAAAGCGAAGCTCCCGTTAATAAATTCATAATTTAAATCAAACAATAAACTTGTAATCCACAGATCAGAGCACATTCATTTGACTTTTGAGGCAAAGGCTGAGTGATTTTACAGAAAAATCAGAATTTGACCGACTAAGAGTGAAACAAATTTTACATCGAGTTAGTAAATAGTCTTATTTGTACACCGAAAAATAGCAATCATGTTCGATCACAGTAGATTAGGCCTGGAAAAAAATAGACCTATTCGTGTATTGTATTTGCATTAGCTGTTGCATCATAATGTGGCATTCACCAGTCTCTCCAACATTGCTCCGTTAGAGAGACTATGGATAACTGGACAACCCCGAAATTTAGTTTTAAGAAACACATGCGCCACGATAGTCCTTGGTGGCAGCCAATTTACACGTTGCATTCCTCCGTCTAAAAGAGAGGCCAAAATAAATAATCAGACCGGATTTTTTGTGTTCGACAAGTTTAGTTTACTAGTACCTCTTGGCGACGAATCTGGTGGCGTGTAAACCAGCCTTTTAAACATACTTTTTCTCATCACGTCTCAGGTAAACAGTACTGTAAGGCCCTTTTTTTATCATACAGACCTCGGACAGAATTTGTTCTTTTTTGTCCTGTTTAAACCTATAATTCTTCAGTTTTTTCACAATTTTGCAAGAGAATTTGCACTCATTCAATATCCACGACGATCGAAGCACGCGCTTCCTTTGCACAACAAATTATAGCATTGAATTATAAAGCGTTTTCATGAAGAGAATTCTATAATGCCGGGACTTTTCTGTTAAAAAAATCTGGTCCTATGTGATATGCAGGGTAATAATTTTGGGCTTTTAATGAAAACGATAAAAAAATTTCCCAAAATCACTTTTCGGCCAGCCGGACGCGCGGGTTCTCACTTTTGACAGGCACAAAATTAGCAGTACGATCAATAGAGTTACCATTTACGCTTCAACATGCCGATAGAGAAATTGTTATGTTTAGGTTTTATTTCCCTTTATTCATTCAAATGTGTATGATTTTGTTATGTGTAATCTTTAAAAGCGAGTGATATTTACGCGCGGCGTTTTGAGTATTCCTACATGCGATGTTTATGTTCGACTGGAAACAACCGGTGCAGCGATGAAAATTGCGAGAGGGACTACTAACAATCAATAAAATAAGTTTAATTCGGTGAAACATGTACAGAGACAATAATTTTCATTCACGAAGAGAAGTATTGAGAGTAAAGTGTCTCAGAAAATCATGAGTCAGGCAAGCATAAGCTTATTTATGTTTTAAGCCGGCTTCCCGGTGTTCGCTCTTTTTCAAGATGAACTCGAGGCAAGAAAATCGCTCAGAGCTTTCTGTTTACAGCCAAAATCATAACTAAATAATGTTCGGAACCATTTCTTTGAATTTGCGGGTCAAAAAATGCCTAAAGGCTTTTTAAACCTGATACTATTGTAGGTTAGATCATTGCTCGTGTATAAACTTAATCCGCATAAACCATACGCTCGACTTCAGGAAACCGAAAAAAAAAAAAACACATCAAAGACAATAATTGCTCAGGCTTACCAGTCGAGATGCTGCTTCTGAAGGCCATCAAGTGTTCCAGAATCGCTCGAGACTTTTCAACCCTCTTACGCCTCAAGCAAGGGCAAGTGAGTAAGCTCATTTTTGAAAACGATGCCATCCGCAATCGGATTTCCAATGACTTTGACAAGCGGTGCATTTGTCAACAGAAAGCGCAATAAACAAACCAGCCACGAATTACAGAACAATCTTGATAGCAGCTGTATTTCATTTTGTACACCAAGTAGAAAAAGACAGTTTAAAACATCAAAAGATGACACAAAACTCTGTCAGCTCCAACTATCAGTAAGCAAGTTTCTAGACGCTGCATAAATTTTCCGCATAAACTCACCTGTCAAATTTTGACCAATCAGAACATAAAAATTGGACGTAGAGCGTGATCAACGCGTGGCAGTGAGAAAAGTCAAAAGCGATTGCTTTTCCTGCATGGAAATGTCAAAGCCGGTTGAATTTTCGTGTCCGAGGTCAGTTCGAAATCAGCATTTTAAAAGCACGGCTCATGAAACACGACTTATTTCATATACATTTTAAAAAAATTGAACTTGGGCCTGCGATCATTTGAAAAGTAGCAACTTGTCAGCGGATACCTTCAAAGAATTACTCGAACTCAGAGCATCGATACCTGAGCCCGCGATACGGTCAGGCGATACTGGTCAGCAGAAACACTATTTTGACAGCTGTCAATTAATCAAACCATGGATGTACAATATCAGGTTGCAGGCTCCCAAACTAGCTAGTAAGTGTGAGATTAAACATTGGTATGCCTGTGGTGCGGACGGACGGAAGGTCGGGTGGTCGGTGTACGGTCACGTGATTGCCGAATTTTCTACGATGGATAGATTTTCTATAAAGCTATGGGGCTTCGAATTGAGCCCGTGATCAAATAAAATATCAGCGCAAAACTTTAAACACTACGTGACCTCAATGGATAGAAAAATGAGCCCGCGATCCACTCAGGTGATGATGGTCAGCGTATACTCTAGTTTGATAGCTGTCAATTAACCTTCATTAGAATGGCGAATATTCGAATTAACAGACATGTAGTGGTAAATGCCAGATCGTGTACCTGAGCGAACCTGAGCCCACGTTATTAGTGGTCTGCACATATCCCATTTTGACAGCTGTCAATTGACCTTAATTTGGCTTGCTAATGTAACTTTAAACGACTGTCAGCCAACTGACAGCCTTGCCCGGCGTAGTTTCGTTTTTATGTTGAATTGGTAGGTGTGACATATTATATTAGCTTATATATAGGGGCAAAACGACTGGTCTTTTATCTGAGCCCGCGAGATGGTCGTGTGATAATTGTCAGCGGATGTCTGATTTTGACAGCTGTCAATCTAATCGTACTCAGACGGATGGGTTACATAACTAAGAGGCTAGTCAAGTTGTGCAAGATCTATTGTGACATTTGACATCGGCTTACATGAAGTGTGTGTACGGGTGGGCGTACGCTACGTCATAACCAAATTTTCTCGGATGGATAGTTTACCAAATTTTCTTACCCATGGTGCTCCGCTCCGCGCGCGCTTCGCGCGCGCGAGGAGCTCCGCTATCAACGACCAGATTGTTGAAGACGATTTTTGGTTTGAAGACTTCTTCTTGCTGGTTATGGACGTTATAAAGACGCCAGGAACTTACGTTAATAACTAATTGTAACCTTCTTGAAGATCTTCGAAGTTCAGCTCTTCTTTTCCCGCTACTAGCGTTGTTTAGTATGCTCAGCTGGATCCAGTTCGAGAGCAAGCAAAGTGTTTTTAATTTTTCTCAGACAATTTAACATGAAACATTGCATGCAAGCTGCGAAAACCAGCGCGTTTCTTTCAGCAAACGACGTAATAGCTGTATAATTGATTTTATATAACAAGCCACGCATCGTTGCAACTTTCTCCTTTCTCCTTTCAAGACCGCATTTGAACTATTTTTTTATAGCACGTACCTTCACTTCAGATTTCTTGTTTTAGGAAAACAAAAGCTAAAAACAAGTGCATTGCGTCCAGACTTATTTGTCAGCTAGGTCATTCACAGTTGCGTTATTTTTGCATACATAATTAGTAAGCGGGGTGGCGAAAAAAATGGTTTCCTGGCAGGCGTTTCCTTCCCTCCCTCCTCGCGCGTCCCGGCCCTCGCGTTTCTCCCCCGTCTAAGACTCCCCTTCCCTTCCCTTTCAAACGCCTGCCACGCAGTCTATAGTACAGAGCTGAAACTTTGATCTATATACCGGCGGGAAAGCCAGCAAACTAATAAAATTTTCACAGTGTAAAACGGATTCAAAACAAGACTTCAGGGGCTATTTAAAAAGCCAAACTGAAACGCGCGTTGGAGAAACATCGCGCGACATTTTCATAAGCAAACTTGTCTTAGAGTGCAAAGTGACACGCACTGAAAATTACTCTTTTATCTTGATTTATGCTCTTTTTTTCTTAAACACTGGCCTAAGTTGCTTCAATGTTTCACCAATGTTGCGTTTGCTCTTCTTGCGTTTGCGGTTCCGTATTATTTGCATGAGAAGTTGCTCGTGATTAAGTGATTGTAACATTATTTCACAGACGATGAATAAAACATCAGCCCTTTATGAAGGAAACATGATAGTGCACAAAAAATAGCTGCAAGGCTATCGAATGTTTAAATGTTGCCTGGAAACACAAATGCTGCGTGACGTCAAGCGGATGACGTCAAGGCAGATAGCAACCGGAAGTGACCGATGTATAGCCTCAAACAAATATACATGCATGGGCCAGGCAAATTCACAGTCGCACGCCGCTAATAAGACCAGCGTGGAAAGCGCGCTTTGCGCGCAAGGAGATTATAAATAGCTGCAAGGCTATCGAATGTTTAAATGTTGCATGGAAACACAAATGCTGCGTGACGTCAAGCGGATGACGTCAAGGCAGATAGCAACCGGAAGTGACCGATGTATAGCCTCAAACAAATATACATGCATGGGCCAGGCAAATTCACAGTCGCACGCCGCTAATAAGACCAGCGTGGAAAGCGCGCTTTGCGCGCAAGGAGATTATAAATCGCTTTCGCGAGGGCTCGTTGCTTAGAAAAACTACACTTACATAGCGCCGATATAATTTCTTTCTATTTTTACCAGCGCATAAAAAGAAAATAAAATACAATAAAAAGAAAAAGAAAAGTAAAAAATAAAAATAAATATAAATATGTGGGCACTAACATTGTATAATTACCTAGACTACCAGACTGTCTTTCAAAACGCTTTTGACATACCTCCGTTAATGATCCATAGTAACCAGAATCAGGCATACTGGAATCAGCGCTGAAATCCCTTTTTGGGAGAGGGAACGACGGCGAGATCTGTATCATGTAATAAAAATTAGTTGCGTTGGGCAAGTTGAACGTTGACTTGCTATTACCCAGTATAAGCTGTGCCTTTAAAAGTATGAGAAAAAAAGAAAAAAAATACCATGCAGATTGCGAAGAAACAAAAAGGGTTGAATGGCTGATTATCCCATGACATCATGGATTTGGAGGAGTTAAAGACGTAACGACAACTTGTAGAATACACATTGGTATGCCTGTGGTGCGGACGAAAGGACGGACGAACGAACCGTCGGGCGTACGGTCACGTGAGTAGCAAAAGTTATCGGATGGATAGATTACCAAATTTTCTTAGGTATGGGGCGTTGTGCTCTACTACTAACTGCGTTTGTCTTTTCTCCTATTCATACGGAACATTTTAAATTACAATAAAGTGGTAGTGGTAGTGGTATAGTGGTAGTATATACTACATTGTAGTAAAGTAGCAATATCAACCTCTGCTACGACTACCACCGCCGCCACCACCACCACCACTACTTATAGCGCTTATATCATTTTTTCTTTTTTTACCAGCGCATAAGAAGGAACTAAAATAAAATAAAGAGAAAAAGGAAATTAAAAACTAAAAGTAAATGTATATATGTAAGCACCAACTTTGTAAAAATTATTTAGACTACCAGACTACCTCTCTAAACGCTTTTGACATACCTCTCTGGTGTGCTCCTCCGTTGTTGATGTATAGTAACCAGAATCAGCGGTACTGGAACCAGCGTTGAAATCCCTTTTTGGGAGAAGCGACGACGGCGAGATCTGTACCATGTAATAAAAATTAGTTGCGTTGGGCAAGTTGAACGTGATTTGCTATTGCGCAGTAGAAGCTGTGGCTTTGAAAGTATGAGAAAAAAAAGGAACAAATGCCATGTAGACTGCACAGCCACCAAAGGGGTTGCATGGATGATTATCCCATGATATCATGGATTTGGAGGAGTTAAACACGTAACGACAACTTTTAGATTACACATTGGTATGCCTGTGGTGCCGACGAACGGAAGGATGAATCGTCCGGCGTACGGTCACGTGAGTACCAAAATTTATCGGATGGATAGATTACCAAATTTTCTTAGGTATGGGGCGTTGTGCTCTACTACTAACTGCGTTCTTGTTTTCTCCTATTCATACGGAACATGTTAAATTGCAGGTAGTGGTAGTGGTATAGTGGCAGTATATACTACATAGTAGTAAAGTAGCAATATTAACTTCTACTACGACTACCACCGCCGCCGCCACCACCACCACTACTTATAGCGCTTATATCATTTTTTCTATTTTTACCAGCGCATAAGAAGGAAATAAAATACAATAAAAAGAAAAAGAAAATTAAATAATAAAAGTAAATGTAAATATGTGAGCACTAACATTGTAAAAACTATTTAGACTACCAGACTACCTTTCCAAACGCTTTTGACATACCTTACTGGTGTGCTCCCTTTTTAGGAGATGCACCGAGGACTTGATCTGTATCGTGTAATAAAAATTAGTTGCGTTGGGCAAGTTGAACGTGACTCGCTACTACGCAGTATAAGCTGTGGCTTTGAAAGTATAAAAAAATAAAAGGAAAAAATGCCATGTAGACCGCACAGCAACGAAAGGGTTTGCATAAATGATTATCCTACGACATCATGGATTTGGAGGAGTTAAAGACGTAACGATAACTTTTATATTATAGATTGGTATGCCTGTGGTGCGGACGGACGGACGGACGGACGGACGAACCGTCGGGCGTACGGTCACGTGAGTACCAAAATTTATCGGATGGATAGATTACTAAATTTTTTTTAAGTATGAAGCGTTGTGCTCTACTACTAACTGTGTTCGTGTTTTCTCCTATTCAGACGGAACATTTTAAATTGCAGTAAAGTGGTAGTGGTATAATGGTAGTATATACTACATTGTAGTAAAGTTGCAATATCAACTTCTACTACCACTGCCACCGCCGCCACCACTACCACCACTACTTATAGCGCTGATATCATTTTTTTTTTCTATTTTACCAGCGCAAAAGAAGGAAACAAAATACAATAAAAAGAAAAAGAAAATTAAAAAATGAAAGCAAATGTAAATATGTGAGCACTAACATTGTAAAAATTATTTAGACTACCAGACTACCTTTCCAAACGCTTTTGACATACCTTACTGGTGTGCTCCTCCGTTTCAGTGTAACCAGAATCCGTCATGGGATCCCTTTTGGACTTGATCTGTATCGTGTAATAAAAATTAGTTGCGTTGGGCAAGTTGAACGTGACTCGCTATTACGCAGTATAAGCTGTGGATTTGAAAGTATGAAAAAAAAGGAACAAATGCCATGTAGACTGCACAGCTACAAAAGGCTTTGCATAGATGATTATCCCATGATATCATGGATTTGGCGGAGTTAAAGACGTAACGACAACTTTTATATTATAGATTGGTATGCCTGTGGTGCGGACGGACGGACCGAAAAATTTGCCAAAGAAAATCACATTCGGTTATTTCGCCAGACGTGACAAAAACTATCATTATTGGAACGTATTTTGTCAGAATCGACAAATTCATTTAAAGCGTTGTAAACCACAACAACCTGTGAAATCAGCATCACGTCATAATTAAAAACTTTGCGTTGTAAAAATATTTTGATACTATTGTGCAAATAATAGTGTTTAGGTGTTTTTATTCTATTTTTTTTCTTTCATTAGGGGTTGTTATAAAAAACATTCTGTTTGATCAAACCGCATTTTGGGCAAAACATTTCAACCTCAGAAGGGGCAATTCGCATTCTCACGTCGCAAACGGCACATATTTCCACACATGTCCAATATGCACAAACGGATACGATTCGTCAAACTGATGGTCCATTGGTACCAATGGTACGATTGGTACCAATAGAAAAGCACCCTATTCCAATGGTTCTGTTGGTGCATATGCATCTAATTAAGGAGACTTAGATTATTTTCCCATGTGACCTGGTTGGGTACAGGGCGATTCCAATGGTCAATTGGTACCAATGGTAAGATTGGTACCAATGGAAAAGCACCCTATTCCAATGGTTCTATTGGTGAATATGCATCTCATTAAGGGGACTTAGATTATTTTCCCATGTGCCTGGTTGGGTAAAGGGCAATTCCAATGGTCCATTGGTACCAATGGTACGATTGGTACCAATGGAAAAGCACCCTTTTCCAATGGTTCTATTGGTGAATATGCATCTCATTAAGGGGACTTAGATTATTTTCCCATGTGACCTGGCTGGGTACAGGGCAATTCCGATGGTCCATTGGTACCAATGGTGCGATTGGTACAAATGGAAAATGATGCCATTCCAATGGTTCTATTGGTGCAAAACAAGTTCACTTTTACACCAAGTGAAAACACGCTAATAATTATTATGAACGTTCCTCGTTCTATAAGAAAACCACGCAAAACAAGTTCGCTTTTACATCAAGTAAAAGCGTGCTATAATTCTTATGAATATTCCTCGTTCTATATCCCAATCACGCAAAACAAGTTCGCTTTTACACCAAGTGAAAACACGCTAATAATTATTATGAACGTTCCTCGTTCTATAAGAAAACCACGCAAAACAAGTTCGCTTTTACATCAAGTAAAAGCGTGCTATAATTCTTATGAATATTCCTCGTTCTATATCCCAATCACGCAAAACAAGTTCGCTTTTACACCAAGTAAAAGCGCGCTATATTCCTCGTTCTATAAGCCAACCATGCAAAACAAGTTCGCTTTTACACCAAGTAAAAACGCGCTCATAATCATTATGAATATTCCTCATTCTATAAGCCAACCAAGCAAAACGAGTTCGCTTTTACACCAAGTAAAAACGCGCTAATAATTATTATGAATATTCCTCGTTCTATAAGCCAACCATGCAAAACAAGTTCGCTTTTACACCAAGTAAAAACGCGCTAATAATCATTATGAATATTCCTCATTCTATAAGCCAACCAAGCAAAACGAGTTCGCTTTTACACCAAGTAAAAACGCGCTAATAATTATTATGAATATTCCTCGTTCTATAAGCCAACCATGCAAAACAAGTTCGCTTTTACACCAAGTAAAAACGCGCTAATAATTATTATGAATATTCCTCGTTCTATAAGCCAACCACGCAAAACAAGTTCGCTTTTACACCAAGTAAAAGCGTGCTATAATTCTTATGAATATTCCTCGTTCTATAAGCCAGCCACACAAAACAAGTTAAAACGAGTTCGCTTTTACACCAAGTAAAAACGCGCTAATAATTATTATGAATATTCCTCGTTCTATAAGCCAACCACGCAAAACAAGTTCGCTGTTACACCAATTAAAAACGCGCCATAATTCTTATGAATATTCCTCGTTCTATTGGCTAACCACGCAAAACAAGTTCGCTTTCACACAAAGTAGAAACGCACTAATAGTTACAAAGCGAGGACGACCTATATATCTAGCGCTAATAATATCTCAAGGTGCTGCGAGTATAACAAACATCGTACGAACATTAAAATTGAAAGGTAACGCGTCACTGTCGTGTTCGTTCTGTTTATTGACCAGAAATATGGCCGCCCAGCCCTAAGGTTGATCCGTCGCACGAGCGATGCTCACAGAAGCTCATCACACGTTACTCGAACCACCTCACCTTTCTCATAAGGTGTGTTAAGAACCGCTTTGTTCCAAGATACCTTCGGGTCCGATCACCAGTACCAACTAAAGGCGCTCGCAGAGTAGGCGAACTAGCATCCTTTAGGTTGCTAAGAGAAAGAATACGCCTGACTTAAAGAGCTAAGGGCGATGCGAAAACAACTACAGAGCTCTGTTTCGACGACCAATGCACCTTGTATTGACAAGAACAAATGGTTTATCAATTTATCCTCAAGGTGCTTAAGCGACTGAGGTTTTGCTGCTGCAGCAAGGGTTAAATTTCTCAATAATTACTCCAACGAGCATCCCAGCCACTGAGATAGTTGCCAAAGTCGAGTCTGCTATAATACCACTTGACACAGAACAAGCTGACTCAGTCAAAAGAACTGCTAATAATCTTCTCCAAAAGGCACAGCCACCTTAGCCTGACGTAACTAAAGACATTAAACAAGCCCTCAAAAGCTTGAAGGAGGATGACACTATTATGGTTCTCCCGGTTGACAAAGGTCGCACCAGCTTAGTTTTAGATACAGAGACCTATCGCCAGAAGATAAAAACTCTTATCAAGAGCGGTCCATATCGATCGATTTCTTAACAAAGACCCCACTGACCGTCTGAGTAGAAAATTGACTAATAATAATAATAATTTAATGCTTATAATGGGCGCTTTCCATGAAATGATCAAGCGCGCATGACATGATTTCTATCTATAATAATTTAATACAGGGTATGAACTGTAAAGTTTATACCTAAAAAGCTCTTAGACCTTAACAGAAACGGTAACCTGACTGAACCTGTGTATAACAAGATTAGACCTAAACACAAGCAACCACCTAGAATCTACGGTCTACCTAAGATACGCAAATCGAACATACCTCTAAGACCTATAGTTTCATGTGTTAACACCTTTCCTTATGATTTATCAGCCTATTTAGCCGACATCTTAGCTCCCTTAACGGGGAGGTCTGACTACACGGATAAAAATTCATCTCAGTTTGCGTCTACTATGAACAAAGAAAGAGTTGATGAAAACGAGATCATGGTATCTTTTGATGTAGAATCTTTATTT